GAGAAAGCTGCTTTCACACATCTTTGTGCTTCCCAATCCTGAGCTGGCCGTGTGCCAATCTGATCCCCTGATGTAAATTAGAACAGCCTTCAGGTCTCTTTAACATCCTTTAGCGGCCAAAGGCTCCAGGAGGCAGATGCAGGAGGCAGAGATCAGCAGAGTCACCCTTCTTGCACCATTAGTGAGTCGTACAACCGGCCCCCAAGTTCTCTGTTAGGTTTCTGCCAGCAGAGGGTCTCTCTCCCCCAGGATGATCCTAAAGACGGGTCTAGGGTAGCTCTGCGCTAGAAAAGTGGCAGAAATTGGACATTATGCAGCCTAACAGACTACGTCTGGGTCTTATTTGGTCATTAAAATGACTGCCAGGCATTTGTGAAGTCTCAAAGAGTAGTAAAGAGCTCTTTTCTGAAGGTCTTGAAAGTGACACTACGTTGTAATGCTCATAGTCTGTGGGGAAACCATGCAGGCTATTTTTGCTGTGTTCTGCTATTGAGTCTAGTGCTGATAGATGATGCAGGATTAAGATCTGATCCACGGTCAGACAAAGTTTTGTTTTGTTGTCTTTTCTATGAGATGTGACTGTCTGCCCCAAGATATCCTGTGGTCTTAAATTTGGCTTACACAGTTTATTACCTGGAACTGTTGTGAGATCATTCAGGTGCCCTATTTTAGGTGCTTTCTTTCAGATGCTTTCTGAAATCACAAATTTATTTTTGATCTCTAGATATAAAGAGGCCAAACCACCGTTGAAATTAGGGGACTTACACCTGCTTATGCTCCACAGTATAGTAATGGTCATACATCACAAGGTAGGCAGGAATCTCACAGCACTTTTGGGGACTCATCTTAAGTGACTGAACTTTACATTGTGCAGCTCATATAAAGCCTCATAAAAGTTATGCTCTTCATTTAAAAACATCTGTGAATTCTAATCATGTGCTCATCATCTAAAGGTTATGGGATTTTTTTTGTAGGTATGCAAAAAAATAAGCAGTAATGCTGCGTGTGTGAACAAAGATGAAAGAAAAATGTTGCTGGTTTCTTCCCTGGAGATCACATTTCTTATTTGTTGCAAAAGTGCTTCTTTTAGCATCAGTCATCTCAGCCTTTACTGTGTAGATAATTCTGTACATTTAAAGGATTTGTTCTATCTTCCTTCTTCTGAAATGTTTTCTTTTTATTCTTAGCTTTATTTCTCCCATAAGCAAATGCCAACTGACAATGTTCTGTCACAGATCTTCAGAATTGTCAAAAAAAGTGTCATGCTATGTAAACGGGATATCATATACATAAATATAGTTTACATAACATGACAGCAGGTCTAGCTAACCATCAGGAATTATGTGTGTTACCCGTGTGTGTGTGGGGGGGAGGTGTATGTTAAAGGCCAGATTCTGTTCTACCTCTTAAGTTCATAAGTAGACTTTGGCGCCTAAGTGAGATTCTGTTCAACTCTGCTTGAGCCCCTAAAAAATCTGTTAATACTAAAATAGGGTGGGTCCACCGCCTCGCTGCTTTTTGTGATTCAGTATTAAGGGTAAGATGATGATGTGGAAATGGTAGAACAGAATCATACTTACATGCCTAAGTCCGCACAGACATCTAACAGGGGGAATAGAATCCACCCCTTTGTGTGTAGGTGGAGATGCAGATATCATCCATAAGCAACTATGTTAAAAGAGCATTATTAAGATTGCAAAGTCAAGTACTCAAAAGGTAGAAAATGTCAGATTAAGTTGCCTGTGCAACCTTAGTTCAGCCTCGTTGTGTCAGTGCAGCATGGTAGGTCTTTAATTACACAATCAGATACAGTACTTTCTTTTCCACAGGATACCTACTTTGTGCAGTGCACAAGATGGACAATGATCAATTAATGACGAGCTATTCAATCCTTTGTTTTGCTCTCAGTGTTCAATGCATTGCCTTGGTCTTGCTTACTGTATCCTGTTCACACCCTGCTCTGAAACCAGAATGATAAATTTCCTTGTGGACTTTTAGATGGCACATGTCAGTGTGCTGAGTGCTTCAAAACAGTAATTAGTCTCCACAAAGCCCCTGTCATGTGTAGAGGTGGTATTATCCCCATTTTAGAGATGAGTAAGGTACAGGAAAATTAAGGTCAAAAGTAGTTACTGATGCTGGGTGTCTAATTTCAGAAGCCGAGGAGCTGATCTTAGACAACTTCAGATATGCAACCTCAGCCCCCATTGATTTTAGCTGCAGTTGTGAATGACACATCTGCAAATCTCAGGCCCGAGGGCCTCAAGCTGGAGACCCAGGAAAAGAACATGGCATTATTGGCCATCTCTGATAAGTGTGTTTTAAGAGACTTCCTTAGCATCACACAAGAAGTCCATGGCAAAGACTAGGACAGGATCCAGGGCAGCATTCAGCTGCCCTGATCATGAGGTCCTCCGTTGTCTTCCTGCTGTCAGCTTGGCTGATTACAGCTTCTGCAAGAAGTGAGGTGGGGTCCCGTAAGCAGCAATTGCCTTTTGATTCCTCCTTGGGGCAATTCCATCCTGTACACATCCTGAGCCAGGGCTTGTGCAGAAAAAACAGAAGGTGGTAAAGATTGTCCCTAGGCTGCATTTCCCTAATCCACACAGAGGACACACTCTTCTGCCTATTCCCTGTAACCTGACTCCTCCGTCCCCCTCTCAGTCCTGTCTCTTCCCCATCCCCGGTTCCCTGGTGCAGGCCCAGCTGAAGTATCCACTTCTCATGTATCATCCTAAGGGCAGTCTGCTTGCATAGCCAGCCCTAATTTTCCATGTTAGATTCCCTGTCCAAAGTATATTCTTCCCCGACTGCCAGTCTCTCCCCCTTCCCAGAACCAGTCCAAGTCTCCCCATCCTCTCCAGTCATTATGTTTGCCTAGAAAGTTGCAGTTTCTCTCTCTGTTCCTTGTCAGATCTGTCCCTTCTGCTTGTGCCCCACCTTTCCTTTTGGTTTTCAGTCTTCTTGTCCTGCTCATCTCTCTCCTCTTTCCTCCTCTCAGCTCCTTGTCCAGTCTCAGTATTTCCTTGAGCCACTTACTTCCAAATCTTCCTTCATTTCCATTACTGGCTTCCAGCTTCCCTTCCGGTCCCCAGTCTCCTTGCATAAGTAATTCCAGCCTTTATCTTCCAACGCCCAGTGATAGTTTTTCTGCCCTGCCTCCACTCACAGTCTCACTAGACTCCTTGTGCAAATGTATTCCTTTCCTTACACCTGGTCTGACGCTGGGCCATCCTGCATCTGAACCTGTTGATCCCTCTTCCATGTTGTGTGTGTGCCAGCATTGGGAAACCCTGCAAGGGACAGGCGCTCTCATCTCTGTTGTGGTCCCAGACTCCTGTCTCTGACCGGGAGCAGCCCTTAGGAGGAAAGTCCTTGTGAACCCCAATAGCCTTGGGGTTGGAGTATGCTCAGTTGCTGCCTAGGGATGGTGCCTGGCAGTCTGATCAGCCCCAACAGCTGTGAGCAGCTCAATACTTGGGGAGGACAGAGACCAACACCTAAAAATCAAACAGGTCTCTACAGAGTATGTGCAAACTGTGATTTTTCAAAGGCTTATAACTTGGCCAAATTTGGGTTTTAATGGGGGCAGTAAAAAGGACATACCTGACACAAAACCATCTCATAAAATGCCAAGTCCCTTTTTCAAAGCATTTGAAAGGAGAAGCATCAAGAATTCGTTTACATCCTCACGTTTCATTCTTAGAAATGGGTGAAATTTCTCCTCCCTCTCTGCAAAAAATCAGCCACCAGCAAGCACCCAGCATGGAAAATGGGAGCCTAAGAATTTGACAAAGTTATAAGCAACTGAAGCAGGAAGTTAAAATGGGCAGTGTTGTGGTGCTGTTAATAGGTAGTGTTCCTAGCTCCACATCTATCCGTTTCTGGAGGCCATTAACCATCCCTGACCAGCGGTGTCTGGTCAAGTCAGCAGAAAACTGCATAACAGACTGTGCTGGAAAGAAGAAAATGAGCTTTGGCATTAAGAAATATAAAGCAACAGTCTGCAGTGATGCTCTACACCCCTGCGAATCGTCACAGAATTGTTACCGTGGGCTTAGTGCAGACGAGGGGCCAAGTACAAGGCATAACCTGGCACAATCTGATTCATTACAGAGACTCCTGAGGGCGAGGCCAGCAATTCCACAATGCAGTTTAGGTAAGGAACAGCTTGGTTTTCCTGATGCCTCTCTGCTGGGGGAGGCAGGGCATCTCTCAGCGCTCGGCCAGGGCGGGGACGCATGTCAGTGCCAAGTCGGACACAAGGCAGGGCAGATTTGCACCTTTCATCATCTCTGGCAAAGCCCTAGGGCGGGTTTGGAGACCCTGGAAGTCCAGTCCCCCTCCGCAGAAGTGGCAAGTCTCCCCGCAGGGGAGTGCAGGCTGCGACTCCTCTCCTTTTGCTTCCTCCGCTCTCTTTTCTCTGCTTCCAGGGCGAGGTGCTTTACCTCGAAACAGCCTGCCGCTGAGTTGCCCTTGCGCTGCCACTGGACGTTTGTAGACTAACTACATAAGGCAGAGGAGCAAGAGAGAGCAAGCCTGAGCCGTCCCCAAAGAGCCGGGGTCATGAGCCAGCAGCTGCTGCCTCGGCCATCCCAACCCGGAGCGTCTCCATCGCAGGGGGACACCGAGCGCGCCCACCCCGAGGTGCGTCGGGCACCGCCCCTTCCCCTCTCCTCTCCTCCCCTCTCCTCTCCTCTCGGCCCGGGGAGACAGATGACTGCTCTCCCCCGGCGCAGGCAGCGGCGGGGGTGTGGCCTGCCGGAGGCTGGAGCGGCTCCGGCCAAGCCCCGGCGCGGAGCCCTTCCCGAGCCCA